GAGAAAGGAGTTGACGTGGAACACTGAAGAAAGTACAGGAAGATTGGCAAAGATTTATTATAAAACCAAATAAGTAACTAAACCTTATGAAATAACCTTGAGAACTAGAAAATCTAGTGTATCTTGGTATGAGCAATAGCTCAGATTCCCATGCTGTTACTGTCAAACAACATCTCCCTCATTTAGAATCAATTTGAGATGATAGGAGAAAAAAGAAACACAAACAAAAAGACAAAATGAAGAGTCCTTTCAAAATCCAGTATAAATTTTCTGTTTTGAAAATAAAAATATACTGAATTTATATGATGTCTAGTGTTCCAAAACAATGTGAATGTAAGTAAAATCACTGTAATGCTCACTTAATGTGGTTAAATTGTGAGTTTTTTGTAAGTTTGCATGGTTACAAAATGAAATAAATGTAGACGGACATTTAGAAACAATACATAAATGACATAAGTGATTAGTACACACCAGGTTTACCTGAGTAAAGGAAGAAACTCTGTGAACATTTATTTTCCTATGATCTCCTTCTTCCATTAGGTTAGTCCTTAGAGATTGGGATGGAATGGACCATTGTGGTTATTTATGTGCCTGTGCATTGAACGTACAAGTTATATAGTAGTCAATAATGAGCTTCTGCCTCCAACCCTTCAGTTCGATGACTTCAGCCTAGTGAGTCCCATGCCTCTGTCACAGCCTCCATGGCTGTCTGCATCAGGAAGCTCCTATCTGACTTTGAGTCATTTCAGTATTGAAGACAGAGACTGAGGCTTCATTTTGCAGCAGACACAGCAAGGTCTTTGGATCTGGTGTCCTTAACTATTACCCAGCAGAGAGAAATGGCATCACCCAGTAAGTACAGATTATTTACATTCATTGATGTGGGAAGAATCCTTGAAGTGTTGCTTCATCATCATAAGGACAAACATGACAAGGTAGCCAGATGGGAAGGCACAAATGTGAAAAATATATGTATCAATTATGAGGAATGGAAATTTTATACTGTTTGCTTTTATGAGGAAAGCAGAATTATTCTTTCAAATTTGCTTTCTACACATCCCATTTCTACTCCATATTGAAGTCTCACTCAGAAAAAATGTGTCCTCCTGCAATGCTTCTTAAATTCTCCAAAAGGAGTAAGAAGATGATAATAAAGATGTTGAAGTGTAGGAGAGTAACATTTACTAACTTGATTTGAGGTTTTTGCTATACTCCAAGCACTGACGAATGTGTTCTATGCAGCTGGTTTCATTCATGTGCTTTGTCTTCCTGCAATTGTAAGTGTCCACACTGTTACTGCTTAAAGAAAATGGAGAGGACTTCATTTTAATGAAATCTCCAATAAGCTATTTAGCAGAAAAATATTAAGTCACTTTGAATTGGGCTGTGATTAGCGACATAGGGCAGCAAGTGAAGAGTAATCCTGGCAAGTTGTCACCTTAACAACACTACCAACTGTGTCACTTCCCTGTCACTCCAGGAAGAGACCCTTGCTCATGTCAGTCCTTTTTTAAGGGGTTTCCTGATAGATCCCAGAGCAGTCGGTAGCACTTCCTACATTCACCAGATGATGGACAGATACAAAGATGAGCAGGCAAAGATCATAGAATGTACACTTGATAATTGAGATTACCTTTCCCTCACCACTGCAAGATTCTCTTGCAGTTTCATTCTTCACACAAATTCATATGAGCTATGTCAAGCCTCCCTTTTATTTACATTTAGGATATGAGTTAAAAATGTAATTCACATGCCCCTCATGGTTAAGACCTCTGAATAATTGCTCCCATTTTTTTGTGGGTTGGGAAACAATGAAAAAAATTAAGTGCATTGGACAGCATCTGTCAATTTAATTTTTGATTCTTTCAATTCTATTTCTTGTTTCTGTGGAGAAGCCAAAGTTTTTAAAATCTCTGAGATAGCATTGTCATCAGTGTTTATTTCTACATGCAACAGTAGCACAAAAGATTATGCAGCTATGGAGTGTTCCAATATGGGGTTGACATACATTAAATTAGAGCAAAATAAAATTTAGTCATCATTATAATTAATTATAAGGATAATCTTTATAGCAATTGTTTCCTGTGAATTAAGTTACTCTTTTCCTATTCTGCATCAGGACATTTTACTTGTGTCTGTGTATTTATATGCATATGTTTGGAGAGAATCATATACAGTCCTTTCATCTGATTCCCTAGAGCCTAAGATTTGTCCGGCAAGAGGAGGTATAAAAAAATATCTGTTGAACATTGAATAGACACTTCCTCAGGCCAAAATGCTTGTCCTTATTCAGCATGATGTGAAGACATTTGGCATATTCTCACCTTCATGTTATTTCCCTTCACAACTGATCCATAGATGAAGAGAAAAAAATAGCTGTCTTTCTCTCTGTCATGGATATGTGGTCCCTGTAATATATTTTATTGTATCTATATCTGTTATTCACATCAGAGACACTCATAATAGGTTTAAAAAGGCAAAGAGAAGGGAGCAACTCAAAGGATGCCTCACTGTAAGATATATTATAGAACTTCATATCACTGCAGGCTCTGGAGTTGCCGTACTCATCTGTAAAGTTCCTACTGACATCATGTTGTAATTCATTATTTTAAAAACAAAGACTTACAATGACTGCCTACTCGTATCCCAAACTTCCTTTAGTTGCCTCACACAGGAAGATGGGTGCTGTTCACTTTATTTTCCTCAAGCACTGTGAGCACTGAGAGGAGGACAGACTCACACACATCGTGCATGGTGCAGCAGGTCAGTGACACAACACTAAACTGTTAATTTCCTGAGTTCCATTCCAGGGCTGAGTCTCATTCACTGCAGCAAAATGTATGTGCTATTTCTCTAAGATGATAAAATTTCATTGTGAATCATCTTACAGAGTTAATTACTGGACAGATTTTGAAGCTTTACCTCAAGAACAAGAGTTTGTAAGTGACTAAGACATGTTTTCTGGAAAAAATAGTAAAATTTTAAAAGTTTTTTTTTGAAATCGAAGTACTTCCCACCAATATACTATACTGTATACACATCTCAATGTGTTTGATGGGAAGAGAGGCAGAAGAATTTTAAATAGATGTCATAATAATAAACAGAATTTATATAAAATGTCTCCAGGTAATGGTTTTCATGAGTTAATGAAGACATCTTGTGTGTGAAGATTCTCTATCAGAGGCAATAAGTTTTGTTTTATACACAACTTACATAAGGTTTAGATACTTTTTAGGTAAGTTTCTAAAAAAAACCTGTGGATCCATAAATCAATATTGATCTGAAAACATTGGCAGGAAAATCTACTCATGAAATGCATGACAACAAATTTCTTGAAACATAGGTGTGTAATAAAATAGAATTACAAAGAGATACCAACAATTCAAATTTCATAGATAATGTTTCAAATTTCTAAAAATATTAGTTATTATGGAAAAATTAATGAACTTTTAAATATCAAGCTATAGAGAAGTAACATTAATACAGCATTTTCTGAATGTAAGGAAATAGTCTAAAGCAGTGATCCTCAACTCTAGGGTAAGGAAGTAACAAAAAGACTCAATATATAGGTAATCTGATAAATTTATTGGTCTGAGTCTAGAATGTCTGGATATTTATACACATTACAAGTTAAAGGTATATATATATTAGAGTCACCAGAGATTCAAGTAAAATACTTTCAAACACTTTCTTACACCAACTATATAAGATAGGTGATTTTTATTCCCACTTTACAGATAAGAGGGAATTACATTACTTGCAGGTATGTTTACACTATTTTGTGTAGTTTTTATTTTGTAGGCGAGTTGCAGGTGTGTTAACAATATCTGAGGTACCCCTGTTTGCCTTGTTTCACAATTTAACTCCAGTGTGGTACGACAAAACAAAGTGTTGAGTTTTGTTCCAGGTAACTAAGAAAAGTGAACACTCTGTCAATTAGAATTATCAAGGTTTGAAGTTAGCCTGAGCTTTGGAATTTTTCTTGTTTCTAATTCTTCTACTGGTTGGGATCGGGGAATTATCTCAGTGGTTCTGCTGCCTGCCTTGCAAGAAAAGGTCTCAAGTTTGATCCCTAGTACTAAAAAAATAAATTGCTTCTCAGCCTTTTGGTGAAGACCAAGTCTAATTGTTCTACTGGCCATAAGATGGTTTATGATTAGAAAAATAATTAAGCATATTACCATGCAACTATAGAATATGGGATAAAGAAAAAGAGCAAAGCACTATTTTACATAGTAGATATGTAATGATATTGTAGGAAGTGACTAAAATAAAGCTGTCTAAATTTTAAAATGTCAAATATGCTTCTTATAGCTTACTATTCCTAATCATTGACAAGCATACTATGCACTTTTGCCACATCCATAATTATTATGTCATAAAATTATACACATGCATTTGAACTTGCTTATTCAAACGAGTTCACCATACATGAGGACAGGAGTTACATATTATATCATTTATAAACAATAAACACTGCAGCAGATCTAAAATCCTTGAAAAATGAACATCAGAAAACTAAATAATGATGAAAACTTCCTGGGAGATAACTGGCTCAACCCTATGTATTTTGACTATGAACATTTAACTTTAAGGCTCAGAAAATGCACACCTGGATATTATAGTAATTATAAACAACTTATGAAAAGGAATTTGTGCCATTTTTAAGAATAAGGTAATTTTAATGCTCATTAGTTTTCCTTTAATAATATCATGTACTCATTCTGTAAGAGATAAGAGTATTTTACTGGGATCATATAGTTATGAGCTCTTATGTTCCAACTTTGTAAACTAGAATGCAGAGTAGGAGTGAATAGAACAACATGGATAATGGATAAACTTATAATGAAAGAGTTCTTGAGAATAGGGTTTTCACAATGGACCAATATGGCTAAAGGTTTCAGATACCACATGGGAATACTTTGTATGCAAATATATGAATTTATTACATATAAAGAGTCTTGTGTGCTAGTTACTGCTTTCATTATTTTCAAAATTTTTTGAAAAGGTGTTCAAGCATTATGGAAACATATAATCTAACCTCTATCTCAGAATTCCATCTCACTGGTTTCTCAGAGGACCCAGACCTGCAGCCTGTCCTCCTTGGACTCTTCCTGTCCATGTACCTGCTAACAGTGCTTGGGAACCTGTTCATCATCCTGGCTGTCAGCTCTGACTCCCACCTCCACACCCCTATGTACTTCTTCCTCTCCAACCTGTCTATTGTTGACATCTGTTTAATCTCCACCACTGTCCCAAAGATGCTTATGGACATCCTAACTCACAGTAGGATCATCTCCTATGTGGGCTGCCTGACACAGATGTCTTTTTTTATTGTATTTATATGTATGGATGACATGCTTCTCATTGTGATGGCCTATGACCGGTTTGTAGCCATTTGCCACCCCCTGCACTATGCAGTCATTATAAACCCTCACCGTTGTGTCCTATTACTCTTGGTTTCTGTCTTTCTTAGCCTTTTGGACTCCCAAGTGCACAATTTAGTTGCCTTGAAATTTACCTGCTTCAAAGATGTGGAAATTGCTAATTTCTTCTGCCATCCTTCTCAAGTTTTTAACCTTTCATGTTCTGACACCTTAATCAAAACTATGGTCACATATATTGTTGGTGCCATATTTGGCTTTTTTCCCATGTTAGGGATTCTTTTTTCTTACTATAAAATTATTTCTTCCATTCTCAAAATACCATCATCTGGTGGGAGGTACAAAGCCTTTTCTACCTGTAGTTCTCACCTGTCAGTTGTTTGTTTATTTTATGGGACAGCTATTGCTGTGTACCTTGGTTCAGTTGTGTCACATTCTCCCAGGAAGGGCATGGTGGCCTCACTGATGCACACTATGGTCACCCCTCTGCTGAATCCCTTCATCTACAGCCTGAGGAACAGGGACATCACTAGCACCCTGAAGAGGCTCCACAGTTAGAGAATTTAGAAAAAGGACATTTGGCATTCTTTTGGAGTATAGGGTTGAAAATGTAGAGAAATTATGCATCCCAAATTCATCTACAAATACTGTCCTTTTGGTCACTTTAGTTTAGACTCTTGGTGGTTCATATTAGAGTCATGGCTGGTTGGATGACAGTGGAATTTAGGTTTTTTTCATAAGTGCATACTTTCAGATGGGAATATAATAATTTTCTGAAAATGAGTAAAAGTAATGTTTGCACAAAAAAGTACTGCCATTAATATTATCCAAATGAAAAAATAAGAGTCAAGGTGCATTATGTAAAGGTGCACATTCCCAATGATTAATATTATATTGCATACTTTAATTGTACCAATAAAATTGACCATGTGAAATAGGAAGAAAAGTGCTAAAGGTGTAGGGAAAATGGGAAGGGTAGGGGAAAGGTAATAAGGGAAAAAAATATGACAAAATGAAACAATGGAAATGAAGTGTTTGTAAACGGGGAGGGGAGGAGGGGGTGAAGGTAGGGCACTGACAAGGGGAAAAAATGAGAACTAAGACCTGTCATGTAATGGTACACAATCCCAATAATGAGAATAATTGTACTGTATACCTTAAATGTACCAATAAACTCAATAAAAACAAAAAATTAATTTTTAAAAAAACTGCATTTAAAGACAGTTAAAATGAAACATTTAGTTATTTATATCTTAATACAATGAACAATGGAAATAAAATTTTGAAGACTTCTTACTTGAGACAGGTTCTTACTATATAGTTCACCCCATCCTTGAACACACTATATAACCCATCTTTGCCTTAAGCTCATGGTGATCCTTCTGCCTGAGCCTCATGAGTACTGGAATGACAGGGGTGCTCCCCCACTTCCAATCAGGAACTTTATATTTTTAAAGAATAAATTACTAAATAGTACACTTGAAATTCCTCCTGAGTAAAGGAAGAACCCAGTGCCTTTTGTGGACATTCATTTTCTCTTTCATCAACTTCCACTTAATTTCATAAGTTAGAGATGGCAATAACATGGTTCGGTTTAGGTAACTATTAATGGTGTTCATTGAACCTCCAAGGTCATAAAATAGTCTGCACTCATCCATTCCTCCAGCCTTTCATTTTGATTGTTCTATTCTAGTTGGCACAATTGCTACGTCTCCTCTTACTGGTTTTCTGAAATAGAAAGCCCATAACTGACATGGTTGATTCCCTGAGTTGACTAGGAGCTCTCTCTGGTTTTCAGGCAGGTGAGTGATATGGGGTTCATAGTTTTGGACAGAACCCAGTAGAACCACAGCCTTATCCAAGAAGTGTTGAGGGAGAGGATGGAGAAAAGACTATTGTAACCATCCTTCCCCATCATGAACACATACATGAAAATGGATAGTGAGAATGGATGATTAGATTGTCCACAGTTTTAGTAATGAGTACTTTGAAGTTTGGACTTGATTTCCATGGGGGACTAACCATTTCAGTCAGTTTTTCTTTATTCCCACACTGGTTCTTGTCCCTATAGAGACTTAATCCATGATAAATGCCCATGTCTATAAAATGCTTACTAAGCACCTCAAAAGGATTATGAGTGCAATGACGAGGATGATCAAGAATTGTGAAATGGCAGCATCCTGCTTCTGTGTTCCTGTAAATTGTTTCATTTTGTCTGTACAATATTTCTCAAGGATAATCTCTTAAACATTTTATTTAAGTTTAAAAGTAGAGCATAGCATTTTTCTGTAATCAATTACATGGTGTTGGGTAGAAAAGAAGGAAGATGTGCTTCAGTAAGGCTGTCTGATAACACACACAGTGTATCTTGCTAAGTGAATTGCACACACAGCTTTTTTGACAAACCAAGCACCCATCTCTCTTCCCTGCTTCTCTAGGAAGGGACCCCTTTCACACTATGCTCCACTCTTTGGAGTGCCAAGTTGATCACAGGAGAAAGGAGAAGTGACACCTACTGCATCAATTCTAGGGAGGATTTCTGAGATCAGAGGCAAAGATCAAAGATAGAGAAGGCCCACAGTGGTTAGAATTGACCTCAGTCTTGTTCTGCACTCCAGGCTTTTATTTAGTCTATGCACATGCTCCTCTAATCTTTTGTTCATTCTTTTCAATCTCAAGAAGAGAAATCAGGGTTTGTTTTCATTCCTACTCAGAAACGTGGAAAGATTTTAACATTCCTCATGAGCAGTGTGACAGAGAGCTCTGAACCTTGGCTAGAAATATTCTGATTGTTTGGAAACATGGAAAAGCTTTTGCGGATCAAGTGCAAGAACTGACAATTTAAATTTGTTTGATTGTTTGTTTGTTTGTTTGTTTTGGTACTGGAGATCCAACTTGGGCCCTTGTGCTTGTGAGGTAGGTAGTGGAGCCACTGAGCTAAATCCCAGGCCCTGATGATTTAATTTTGAATCGTGTTTCAATCCTTTATTTGTATAACATTTGGCAGTTTATTCATAACTCTGGGACTCAACATTGTCATTGAAGCTTATTTCTAGTTGGTGCAACTGTATTGAGTATAAGTTAAATAATGAATGCTCCTCCTATTTTTAATAGGTGATAGATGTATAATATGAACCTAAATGAGATTTAAATTTTATTAATAAAACTAATGATAAAAGACTCAATTTCATACCATTCAAACAAAATGACTGGAATCTGCAGCTGTTTTCATTTTTTGTATTTGGTTTTTGGTAGCTATATTGTGATATACAAGTATTTGGAAAAGAGTCTCTCCTTATGATAATGGGCATAATACTGATAGTCCTTGGTGTAAACTCTTTATAGTAATACACAATGTAGATTTATTTGATTATTCTAATTCATCATTTGTGAGATGCAAGGAATTTAGTGTCTCCATACATGGCACTTTATAATATTTTTGGCAGAGTGAGAAAAATATAATGCTGCTGTTTCCTTGGTTTTAATATCTCTAGACAAACTAAAGGAGGGAAAATGGGTTCAAATATGCATAAAAAATTTCAAATCTTCTGAATGTGAGAACAAATTAATAAGGAAAATAAGGAACTCAAATATTCAAATTCCCAGCTCCATTCACATATAAAGAATCTAATGCTTTCTAAAAGAGGCCATTCCCTCTTTAACCACAGAGCTGAGACTGCATAAACTCAAACACAGGCCCTCATCATTCAATTGGTTGAACTATAGCATAAATGGAATGCTCAGCCTCAAAGGGTATCTGAAGTGAAGACACTAGTGGGAAAAGAATGGGATCCCATATTTAGGGTGGAGTTGTTTGGGAGCATCCTGATTGGGCTGGGACATTGAACTCTTGGGTTCTGGTAGGGTTTTTATGCCAGAGGAAGAAATTTCCCCACCCAGAGTAGTGGAGGCATCCTCACCCCCATTCTTCTCCTTTCCCTGAGGAAAATAACGTGTTGACCAATCATGATGGTGCTATCACTCCTCAGCACCCACCCACACCACCCACTTTTGCATTCTAGACCAGACTCAAATCACTTTTAGAGAAGACTCCCTAAAAGTGTTGACCATAGTATGACCCATGAGGAAATCCATTATACTCCCAAAGAATTTCCTTGAGTTTTCTAACTCTTACAAGTAGAGGCCTAATGAATATGAGAATGTATTTTAAAGGTGTAGTGTAATGGTGGCAAGAAAACATAGACTTAAGTCAGTCTGAGTCTTCTCTTCTGATGTTAGCACATTAAGTGGAGTTTTTTAAATTAATGTTACAGCTCATGGGGCTTTTAAAAAACATATTAGTGGTTTATTTGCCTACCTGGAAGAAATATGGATCAAAACATAGCCCACTGTTAGTATTTAAAGGTGTCTGATATTCCTTGGTCTGTTGTTGATGAGGGGATTCAAAAGCTCAGGGAAATAGGAATGCTGGAGTGGGTTTACCACAGTAAACCTAATCCTCCACACTGGGATGATATAGAAAATTATCACCTCAAGAAACATCCGTAAAGGGAGCACCAACATCCCTGAAGAGCCCTGCCATTGCTCTTCCCTGTATCTCAGACCTGATGATTGGGATAACAGTCACTAAATTGGAAAACTTCAGGATAATGTGCTTAACTGGATCCTAGAGAAACAGGGGTCAGTTGACATCCATCAATTGACAAAGACAAGGTGCATATATTTACTGCAATGGACAGAAAAAGCAGAACAATGATGGGAATGGTCTGACACATGTAGACCTATTGTGTTGGCTGATTGCAACGGTGTTCAGAAAAGTGAAACAGACAGAAAGACTGCTACACTTTTAGTAGAGTTATATAATGAGAAAATCTTTCAGGGCAAATGAACAGAAATATACCTCAAATTGTGATAATGTAGAATCATGTCCCGGCAGAAAATTCCCGGATTTGAGCCAATTTACAGACCCAGAACCCCTTGAATAAAGGGGTGGTAATGTCTCTTTGAGGAAGAACCATGGTGCACTATCAAAAATGTACATGGTCAATCTTTTACCAGAGGAACATAAGGCCTTTTACTAGGGTAAATGTGAACTGGGGAAAGGGAAATGACCAGAAATTTGGGGGACTGCTGGACACTGGTTCTGAAATAAAGCTGATCCCAGGGGATCCAAATATGTTTGTAGCCCTCCAGTAAGAGTAGGAACCTATGGAGTTTGGTAATCAGTGGAGATTTAGCAAGGATCTCTGGTCCAATAGGTACCCAAATCCACCCTGTAGTTATTCCACCCACTGCAGAATGCATAACTGGGAAAGACCTATTAGTCCTTGGCCATGTCCTCACATTGTCTCCCTAACCTGTACTGTGAAGGCACTCGTGTGGAAGCCATTAAAGTTTCACTTAGCTAGGAAAATAATAAGCCAAAACCAGTATCATATCCCTTAAGAGATTACAGAAATTAGTGCCATTATACAGGACTTGAAAAATGCAGGGTTTGTGGTTCCCACCACATCTCCATTTAATTCTCCTATTTGGTCTATGTAAGAAATGAATGGTTGTTAGAGAATAACTGTGTATTACCATAAACAATCTATTGG